AACAAAAGAATAACGTTTCTGATTAATTCTTGAATGAATTCTCATCGGTTACAGTTATGCCTTTAATACATGGACCCCAAACTCCTAAACTGTTTCCTGCCTAATTCAATGACACGTCAATGGCTAACAATTGCCACTTCAATTCTCCTAATAAAAGCTACTCCTAATGCTCCTAATGTAACTGCTATGTAGCTGTACCTTTAATTCTCCTAATGTAACATAATCAATTGTAACCTATGTATTCTTTTAAAAAAAATACTAGTTTAATTCACTTTTAAAACCTTATGTTTACTATGACTATATCCAAAATCAGTCTCCTATGATTGACATGGTACAGATGAAATTTGCATGAATCATACGAGACTGATTTTGTATAAGAGATGAACGTTTGATGGGATTATACACATGCACGTTATCCATCCCAAATTTTATTTTCTTATATTTTATTTTCTTATTTCGTTAAATTATCAATTAGCGTTATAAATAATTATTATTATGTAATAATTAAAATAAAAAATATTATTATTTTTAGTTTAAAAAGTTAGTATTAAATTTATTTTGTTAAAAAATAAATAAATTTCAGGCTTGAATTTTGAATTTTGAATTTTTTAAAATTTGAAAATGGTAAATTTAGCATCATTAATTATAGTTGATGATTTAGTTTTTCTTTCCTTTTTTTTAAAAGATATTCAAATATTAGATATAATTTGAAATATTTGAATTCTTTCCTAAAAGTAGAAATAAATCAATTATCATAACTATATTAATTAATATTTTATAAAATGAATTTAATGCTAATTTTGAAAAAAGGGGCATATACTAAGTCACTGACTACTGAAAATGTTTTGTGCTTCTGAAGTAGTTGCTCTCAAATGTTGGCATAAGCTGCGATTTGTTTCCTCAGTGTTTCCAACTGCTCATTAGTAAAATAATCTTCCCATTGTTGGCAATTTGTTTACTTAGGGTTTCAAAAGTGAATTAAACTAGTATTTTTTTTTAAAAAGAATACACAGTTTACAATTGATTATTGGCTATTGATTTATTTGATTTGATTATTGATATTTTTAAATTTATGATTTGATTATTGATTTATTTCTTTTTTTAAGTAAGAATTTAAATATCTTAAATTTTAAACTTTAAACTTTTCTTAAAAGAGGAAAGAAAAAATTAATCAACAACTATAATTAATGGAAATAAATTTGACATTTTTGCAATGGATGTGCAATTGTGCATAATCCTATCAAACGTTCATCTGTTATACAAAATCAGTCTCTTATGATCCGTGCAAGTTTTAAGTGGCATGTCAATCTTATGAGACGGATTTCGTAATTTAATCACCCTAGCCAATAACAAATTTCAAAAATTAATTAAAATATGTTTTTTTTTAATCACAATGGTTACAATTGATTATTGATTGATTAATATTTTAAGAAATAATTCAAAAATTCCAAATTATATCTAATACTTGAATCTTTCTTAAAAAAGGAAAGAAAAAATTAATCACCAACTATAATTAATGATAATAAATTTACCATTCTCGAATTTCAGAAAATTCAAAAATACAAAATACAAACTTGAAATTTATTTATAATATTAATTTAATAACCATATCATTTATTATTTTAATTATTATTTATAATGCTAATCGATAATTATACGAAATAAGAAAATAAAATAAAATTTGGGATGAATAATGTGCATGTGCATAATTCTATCTAACACCCATCTCTTATACAAAATCAGTCTTGTACGATTCATGCAAATTTCATCTCTGCCATGCTAATCAAACAAGACTTATGTCGTGCTTTAGTCACCCTATACAAAAGGTGAATAATAAATTTCAAAAGTAAATTAAAGCAGTTTTTTTTTTGTAAAATGCATTGGTTATAGTTTATTATGGATTATTGATTTATTTATAATTTTAAGAAAGAATTCAAATATTTTAAATTATATCAAATGTTTGAATAGGAAAGAAAAAATTAACCATCAATTATAATTAATCATAATAAATTTAACATTTCAAATTTAAAAAAATTCAAAAATCATCCCTTAAATTTATTGTAATATCAATTATTTTTTAACAAGATAAATTTAATACTAATTTTATAATAATAATAATTTTATTTTGAGTATTATATAATATTAATTATTTATAACTGTAATTGATAATTACACGAAATAAGAAAATAAAATATAAAAATATAAACTTTGAAATGGATAATATACATGTATATAATCGTATCAAACGCTCATCTCTTATGTAAAACAAGCATCGTATGATCCAATTCGAGTTTCATTTCTATCATGTCAATCATACGAGATTGATTTTGTGATTTAATCGCCCTATGCAAAAGATCAATAACATATTTCAAAACTGAATTAAAATAATTTTTTAAATTAAAAAAGGCATTGGTAGCGGTTTATTAACCGACATTATAAGAAGGGTTCTATTAATCTCATATTGTTGGAGAGAAGTTACCTTCAGTTGACACATATTTTTCCAGGATACAGTTCTATTTTCTGAAAAACATGTGATTGCAGCAGATAACTCCTCTTGATTTTCTACAGCTGAAGAGTAACATTTTCCTTATAAGAAACACCCTAATACTCTTTTATGCGGTCACATGTGACTTAATTCTTATTAAATTTTTTATTTTGTTTGGAAAAAGTCAATTTTGTGTAGAACTAAAATATTTTAATTATTTTGCAATAATTTCCAGTTTATGAAATCAGCTTTTGAATCACATGTGGTGTCCCAAATTAAAAACCCAAGAACACGCACTGTTAAATTGAGATTTTAATAATTAATAATAACAAAAGTATGACTTTAAGAGAATTATTCCATAATCATGATAACCTAAGTGACCACTAGTATAAAAATACATAAAAAGGGTAGTTTGGACCAAATGAGCTCATAAAAAATTATAGCTATTGAAGATTTTACATACTTGTGTTTGATGGCACCTCATAAACACAAATCATCTGACCAGAACATGGAATATGGTATGTAAGAATCTGAATCCAAGTACTGCAAGTCTTCAGGGTTCTGAAAGCACAATTGTTTATCCCATGTAGTTACATTAGGTTGGGACTGATATTCCTCCTTCTCTATTTCTGATTCAGTGCTACTTATGCTGTTTTCTTTTCAGTCGAGCTCGCTTGTTCTGAAACCAATTATAAATATTACTTTCAGATATTTGGCCATGCTGGCTCAGTTCAGTAGTTATCTCCTTGATTTTTTCCTTGTTTGTAATTCCCATCCCTTTCCCCTCCTCAAATATTCGCCCAAGAATCTGAAGCTGCTTGAGTGTTGGAGTCCACCTCTTGTGGGTTAATGGGTCACTGCATATATCTCCCACTATTCCACTAGGTTTCTGCTCGGTAACTGAAAAAAATAACCCAACGTATTAGTTAGCCAAAGCAAAATGCAAGGAAAAAATCAACCAGGTTTTATTTTTCTGGGTCTGTGACCACCATGACATTTTGTATTTGACATCAATGGGTCACTGCATACATTTCCCACTACACTTCTGAGTACACGATTAGAATGAATAAGCCAAAGTATTAGTTAGCCAAAGCAAAATGCAAGGAAAAAAAGCAAAATATTTTCAATGCTAATACGAGAATAGTGAGTATTTCGGTACATACTTTACTAAATACTAAAAAAGAAAAGTAAATACATTTACATCATCTCTGTCTTTGTGATTATTTCCTCCTATATTCATTTTTTGTCCTTTTTTGATAAGAGAATACCCATTACGTACAATTTGTACTCCTCAATTGGAATCCACAAACTTTATCAGTGGCTTACATTTAATCGTTTTTCAAACTTAAAAGTTGATGGCTAAAAGTAGAAAATTGAAGGAGGAATACAAATAAATACATTGACAGACATACTCAATGTATAAAAGTTTTCACAAAAGAAATGATTTTGGAGAGCAAAATGAGGCGTCTTAGAGCAATAAATATTGGACAATTACGATAAGGTGGTAACTAAGCATTTCCACAAAGAAGAAGAAGAATATGCAAAATGAAAATGAAAGATTGCACTGAACTGAGAGTGTTTTGTGCTTCTGAAGTAGTTGCTCTGAAATGTTGGCATAAGCTGCGATTTGTTTCCTCAGAGTTTCCAACTGCTCATTAGTCATAATAATCTTCCCATTGTTGGCAATTTGTTTACTTAGAGTTTCCAACTGCTCGTCAGTCATTATAACCTTCCCATTGTTGGCATCAACATTCTCATTCTGAACCTGTTTCTGCCATTCCATCAGATTCACTATCTGTCTATGCTGCATGTCTGTCCTTGTGGAAGAGATAGAAAATTCAGCAATCAAGATTTGTCTGAAAAATTAACACAGGCAAAGGAAAGAAAAATGATGAAAAAAAAAACGAACATTTATAGACCAAAACAAATACATAGCATACGGACCTTATGAGCAGTTGGATTGGGCGAATATTTGAGGAGGGGAAGGGGAAGGGATTTACAAACAAGGAGAAAATCAAGGAGATAACTGCTGAACTGAGCCAGCATGGCCAAATATCTGAAAGAAATGTTTATAATTGGTTTCAGAACAAGCGAGCTCGACTGAAAAGAAAAGAAAACAGCATAACCTGACAGAGGGTAGCACTGAATCAGAAATAGAGAAGGAGGAATATCAGTCCCAACCTAATGTAACTACATGGGATAAACAATTGTGCTTTCAGAACCCTGAAGACTTGCAGTACTTGGATTCAGATTCTTACATACCATATCCCATGTTCTGGTGAGATGATTTGTGTTTATGAGGTGCCATCAAACACAAGTATGTAAAATCTTCAATAGCTATAATTTTTTATGAGCTCATTTGGTCCAAACTACCATTTTTATGTATTTTTATACTAGTGGTCACTTAGGTTGTCATGATTATGGAATAATTCTCTTAAAGTCATAATTTTGTTATTATTAATTATTAAAATTTCAATTTAACAGTGCGTGTTCTTGGGACACCATTTTTAATTTGGGACACCACCTGTGATTCAAAAAATAATTGATAATTGATATTATAATAAATTTGGGACACCAAATTTGGGACACTAATTTATTATTATTATAAATTAGTATTAAATTTATCTTGTTAAAAAATAACTGATATTATAATAAATTTAAGGCGTGATTTTTGAATTTTTTTTTAAATTTGAAATGTTAAATTCATTATGATTAATTATAATTGATGGTTAATTTTTTTCTTTCCTATTCAAACATTTGATATAATTTAAAATATTTGAATTCTTTCTTAAAAATATAAATAAATCAAAAATCAAATCAAAATTTTTAAATAAATCAATAATCCATAATAAACTATAACCAATGCATTTAAAAAAAAACTACTTTAATTTACTTTTGAAATTTATTATTCACCTTTTGTATAGGGTGACTAAATCACAATATCAGTCTTGTTTGATTAGCATGACAGAGATGAAATTTGCATGAATCATACAAGACTGGTTTTGTATAAGAGATGGGTGTTAGATAGAATTATGCACATGCACATTATTCATCCCAAATTTTATTTTATTTTCTTATTTCGTAGAATTATCGATTAGCATTATAAATAATAATTATTAAATAATAATTAAAATAATAAATGATATGGTTATTAAATTAATATTATAAATAAATTTCAAGTTTGTATTTTGTTTTTTAAATTTTGTGAAATTCGGGAATGGTAAATTTATTATCATTAATTATAGTTGGTGATTAATTTTTTCTTTCCTTTTTTAAGAAAGATTCAAGTATTAGATATAATTTTTAATATTTGAATTATTTCTTAAAAAATCAATCAATCAATAATCAATTGTAACCAGTGTGATTTAAAAAAAAAACATATTTTAATTAATTTTTGAAATTTGTTATTGGCTAGGGTGATTAAATTATGAAATTTGTCTCATAAAATTGACATGCCACATGAAACTTGCACGGATCATACGAGAATGATTTTGTATAACAGATGAACGTTTGATAGGATTATGCACAATTGCACATCCATTGCAAAAATGGCAAATTTATTTCCATTAATTATAGTTGATGATTAATTTTTTCTTTCCTTTTTTAAGAAAATTTTAAAATTTAAAATTTAAGATATTTAAATTCTTACTTAAAAAAAGAAATAAATCAATAATCAAATCATAAATTTAAAAAATATCAATAATCAAATCAAATAAATCAATAACATCAGGATTCTAGTATTCAAGGGATTGATGCTAGAATTCTGATGTAATTTTAAGACCTTAGTGTTTAATGCATGTATTAAGAAAGGAATCATCAAGGGATTGGGGTTTCTGATTAATGTATCTATCAGGGTAGTAAGGGATTACATCTTGATGATAAGTAAAAGGTTGATTAACATCACATGAAAGAGAATTCATCATATGATCGATTTTTACATGAGTTTATTGTTGAGGGAAATTGACATCTGACTACTTGTTTACATTATAATTTACATTTTATTTATTTATCAAGTTTTAATTCAATTCAGTGTAGTTTCTGGTGACAAGAAATCTATGCAATCTATGAACTTTTGTTTGATTCAACTCAAGTATATATGGTTAGTCGGTGCTTGACACAAATCCTCGTGGGAACGATCTTTACTCATCATTTTATTACTTGTTCGACTAGTACACTTGCTAGATCCGCAACAGTGAACCACAAGGTTATGATGAAGCCATGACGAGCTCAAACAAGATTGAATGGGAGAAGGCAATGTAGGATGAGATAAAGTCCTTGGATGAAAATCAGAATTGTGAGTTGACCAAGCTACCTCAAGGAAGACGAGCTCTGAAGAACAAGTGGGTTTACAAAATTAAGCATGAGGAAAACAGCCAGAAGCCGGGATACAAGGCCAGGATTATGGTGAAAGGCTGCAATCAAAAGAAAGGAGTTGGTTTTGAGGAGATTTTCTCTTTTGTTGTGAAAATGACTTCGATCCAAACCATGTTAGCCATGGTGGCATCAATGGACCTCGAAGTATAACAGATGGGTGTGAAGACGACATTCCTTCACGGCGACCTTGAAGAGGAAATTTATATGGAGCAACCTGAAGGGTTTCAAGCTCCAGGAAAAGAAGACTTGGTCTGTCGTTTGAATAAGAGCCTATATGGCTTTAAACAAGCACCTCAGCATTGGTACAAGAAATCTGAATCTTTTATGACTGATCACAGGTTTGTGAAGACTAAAGCCGACCATTGCGTGTTTGTCAAGAGGTATGAAGTTGGAGATTTTTTATTTTTTCTTTTATACATTGACAACATGCTTATTGTAGGACAAAACAATAGAGAATAGCCGCCCTGAAGAAGGCGTTGAGCTCATCCTTCGCGATGAAGGACCTCAGCCTTGCAAAGCAAATACTTGGAATCAAAATTGTTAGAGACCGACATAGAAAGCTACTGTGGCTAAGTCAATAAAAATACATAGAGAAGATCCTGAAAAGATTTAGCATGGACAAAGTCAAAATAGTGAGCACCCCCTTGTCCGGACACATAAAGCTGAGCCAGAAGCAGTGCCCCAGATCTGATGAAGAAAAAGACGAGATGCTAAAGATCCCATACTAATCCACATAAAGATTGATGTATGCAATGGTTTTTACGAAACCCAACTTGGCGTATGCAATTGGAGTTGTGAGCCGATATCTGCCCAACCCCGACAAAGAACACTGAAAAGAAGTGAAGTGGATCTTCAAGTATCTCAGAGGAACAAAAAGTTTATGCCTCCGCTTTGGAGAAGGTAAGGTCGAGCTAGTGGGCTTTATGGATGCTGACTTAGGGGAAAATGCCGACTCTAGGAAGTCGACTACTGGTTATTTGATGACATTTACAGGAAGAGTTGTCTCCTGGCAATCAAAACTAAAGAAATGTGTGGCACTTTCAACAAGCGAGGCCGAATACATAGCACTGAGGCTTGTAAGGAATTATTATGGATGAAGAAGTTTCTCTCTGAACTCGGTCATAATCAAGACAAGCACGAGCTGAAATGTGACAATCAAAGCTCTATTCATCTAGCGAAGAACTCGACCTATCACTTCCTCACTAAACATATTGATGTGAGGTATCACTAGATCCAGGATGTGGTGGATGGTGGACAACTCGAACTCGTCAAGGTGCACACCGACCTGAATTGGTTCAACATGATGACTAAACCGGTACCAGCAAGAAATTCGAAGACTGCTGTAACAGTGTCGGGTTGCTGCTAATGCCAACACATTGAAGTCAGAAGGAGGTGATTTGTTGGAAGTTATTCCTTCTTTTAATGCTGCACAAGACTCAAGAGCACACCTTTGAGTTGCTCAAGGTTGTACCCTTGTCTCCCTATGTTCCATAATTACTTTTAGAATTTCTCTTCCTCCTCTATATAAGTTTGTGGTGTGTGAGAGTGAGGGGTTAAAGACTTGAAGAAAAGCTTAGAGCTTAAAATTTGTGAGCACCTCTAGGGAAAAGCTTGAGTGTTAGATCTCCTTAGGAAAGTTTGAGTGTACCACCATTTTTTGGTGAAGTTTGATTAATTGTAACCCATTATTCATAGTGAAAGTTTGATTCTGGACTAGTGTCAGTGGGTTTTTACTTCTTCATATTGAAGAAAGTTTTCTCACATTAAACAATTTGATTGTATTCTTCTCTATCTCTCTCTTCTGCAAAAAAAAAATATTTCGCTGCGCAAGACGACCTGATGACTCAAGCAGACATTGCCGAGCTCTTAACTCTAACTTGCAAACGCTTCCACATCGAGTTGAGGGAAACAGTTTCCTACATAATTATCTCCCAATATAACGTATACTCATTGTCTTGTTTGTATCGTGCTATTCAATATTTATAATTTATATGGTGTCATAAAGTTACAGGCAACATAGTTATTAACACTAATAGCATCATGATGAATACGGTGTTCCGTTGTTATTCTGTCTTTGATACTTTATGATATGGTGGATGTTACCGTGGGATTGGCGCCAAATATTACATCAAATTGAAAAGGGTAATAAGAGGAATATGTGGTTTTTAATTTATTTCCGTAAATACAATATAATGACGAATCTCGTCAACTCTCATAAATTACAATAACTTTAATTGTAAGTACTATTAGCCTAAAATAGATTAGGGTTATGACAAATGTTGTGCTTGAACTTGATTAGTTGAATAATTGATGATTCAATAAATATATTAAAAAAATAGTAGTTGAAGTCAAAATTATACTTTATTTTAGAGTTCATGATGAAAGGAGTGTTTTAACAAATATTTTTTTTGAACTTTAAACCTAAGAATAATTATT